GCCTGTCTTCTTGAGTCCTTAACCCCAGGCTCAGCAGAGTGCCTCGTGCGTACTAGCAGCTCAAGAAATACTTGTTGATGGGCTGACTTACTGACACATGATGGATGAAAAAATAGCTACATTTGCCAGGCCTACAAAGTTGGGTCATTCATTCATCATTTAGGCAGAAGGAATTAAACTTAAAACCTGAACAATTTTTGGGGATGGCTGTGAAGTTTGGGGAAATGAAAGCAGGGAGTTCAAAGTCACAGGCAGCAATCAAATCATGCAGGTCAGCTGTTCTGGAAAAAAATGCAGGCTGGCTTTGGGGTGAAAAGGCCAGGGCAAAACTATCCAGTAGGACAGATGATCTCATACTTGTTTACTGGTTGTTTTGAGGTTATCCCCTTCCTGTTCACACGGTGCGAGCTCTCCCAGCGAGATCCCTTACTCAGAGAACAGAGACCCTGTCTTTCTCCAGTGGCCCGTGGTGGCCCCCAGTAGCACCAGAGTGACTCCCTGCTTTTTACCTAAGCTCTCCAGAGTAGGAAGATATTAAGCACTGGGAAGGCATGGCTTTCAGGTTTGTTGTATTTTGGTTTTTTGGTGTTTGTCTGTTTGTTTGTTTGTTTCTGCTCGCCTTCCACGGGCTTTCTCCATAGCACCAGCAAGTAGGGCAGCCAACTCTCCAGATTCCTCTGGACTGAGGAGGGTGCAGAGGAGTCCAAATTGGGACATATTAGTCATCTTTGTACCAGGCCACCAGAAGGAAGGTGTCCCACATCCTTCCTTTTTGCTCAAGGTCTTAGTTCGGCCCGCTTCTTCCAGTCATTTCATCCTCCATATCCTGACGTGTAACCAATCTTCATTATTTTCCCTCCATTTATGACTTTATTGTGCTGTTCCATTCTCTCTCTGGGCCCTGCTTCTCTGGCTTCCTTCCCTGATGATGTCTGCATTCTTCCCCTGACTCTGCCATCCTATAACATTCCAGTGTGGCCTGATCCATTCTGTTTCCTGGGAGCTTGGGGACCACCCACACCCCATACCCCCAAGTAGCTCTCCTGTCACATCTGCTCTGCTAGTGGGGGGAGGACATTTGAGTGATTGGTATTTCCTTAAATATGATCCTGTGATACCCCTGACTACAGGACTCAGGAGAAAAAGCCTAAGAATCCCTAGTTAGCTAGTGGCCCTCAATTATACAGAGGAGGGCTCTGCAAGCTTTCTCTGGAAAGGATAAGATAGTAAACATTTTAGGCTTTGTAGAGCATACAGTCTCTTTCATAACTACTCAGCTCTGCATGAAAGCAGTCACAGATGCTACAAATGGGTGAACACATGGGTGTGCCTCTCTTCCAATAAAACTTTATTTACAAATACTGACAGTGAGCCTTATTTTGGCCCGTGGGCCATAGTGTGTGGACCCCAGATAGGATAAATCTTTCCAGATGATATTAAAAGTTTTCTTATTAAGCCCCTTCAAAGCTTGCTTTGTCCCTACCACCCAGATAGGCCAGAGCTCCAGATACAACTTACACATCTGCATACCCATCTTTACTGGTTTTAATCATTTATTCTGTTACTCAGTTGGGCTTATGGAAACATTTGCTCCGCAAAATAAATGCTTGCATAAAGGCATTGGAATGGAAAGAAAGATCATGTGGAACATATTTTTAGAGGATGTTTAACACCAGTTTGCAATATAAAAGATGGATACAGAGTTAGAGTGAATTATTAGGATAATTAAGGTAAACACATGGTTAATGCTTTGATAATGGGATTGCTAGATTAATAGGAGAGGAACTCCTCTGCTGGGCAGAAGTATCCTCCCTCCCTGTTGGTAATGAAGTAGAAAGTAGCCCAAATAGCGCTTTTAAAAGTAAGTTCTTGATATTAACTGCTGTGTTTCTTATATTTCAAATTAAAAAGCATCAAATCACAGAGTTGGTGGACAGACCTCTGTAGTGGTGGTTGGCTTCCATCAAAGACTGTTTTCATCCTAAGTGCAATTTTCTATCTCCACGTCTTCATAGCTTATTTTGAAATGTGCCATTTTTAGACATGTACTTAGAAGGAATAGAAGGAGAAAGGAAAAACATCAGTAACATTTTAAGTTGACTTTTGGGTGTGTTCTCACTCAGGGCACGTATCTGGACACTGCTTATCTTTGATAAGAAATCAGGAGATGACAATTAGGAGACAGGGAGGAAGCAAGGGGGAAGAGAAGCCTGTATTCCAGCAGAACGCCCTTCCCTACAGTTATCTGGTCCTGGAGGTCAGATGGGACTGCGGCAAGAGCGAGGACGAACAGGGCACTGACATACTGTTGACCAGCTCCCTACAAGTCGTCTGTGCCGGTGGGGTTCCTGCAGAATTCCAGAGCTTTCTTTAGAGCAGCAGCGGCCCAACAGGGCTCAGCGCTGAGCAGATATTGCTGAGTCTAGAGAACGGAGAGCCTTAACAAGTAAATTCCACACCCCCTCGAATTTGTGCCTCGGCAGGGAGTCCTCGGCAGGAAAGCCTCCATATGTTTTCCTTTACTACAAGGAACTTCAGAGCATGAGTTCATTTCTCTTCAAACCTCCTCACATTGCTGGAAAACAGAACTGGCTGGCTGATCAGAAATGCCACCAGGAAGACAAGGGGACTCATTCAGACAGAGGTAGGGGAGCAGTTCCCCTTCCGAATTAGATACTAGTTTTGGAGAGGTTTTCTTTTTCCTTGGCTGCCTTACCTTCTGGACTTTGGCAGGATTTTTTTTTTATTTTTAAGGACAGTCTTTGTGTTTCACTACTTCCTGGTAGAGCTTGAAAACTTGGCAAAATAAATATAAAAGGAAGATTTCTGCAAGATGTGTCCCACAGAGGATGGAGTATGCTCTGAGGACCAAAGGATTGTAGCTCAGATCAGTCTTGGCTCTTAAACAAAAAAGCCAAGTTTGCAATTCAGGATTACTTTAAAAAATATCACTGCAAGTAAGTACTTTGTCTTTGTTCTCTTCTCTTCCTTCTTACTCCCCTAATAAGCATCTTTTGCATTTTATAATCTCAATCAAGTTATCAGTTGGACTCCTTGAAACTTAAGTGTGACGATTTGCCAACTCATAAATTAATTGCAAGATGAGATGGGGAGTGTCCTGCGCTTACCACCACTTAGCAGATAATATTTACAGTAATGTTTACATTTTCATTGCCAGGAATCATTTCATTTCATTAATGTTTCAGGTGACTATCTTTTGCTTCCATTCCTCCAGGAACATAAACTGTATTTTAGACTGGAAAATGAGCATGTAAAATTTTCTTCTGAAAAGAGCGTTGTTGCTACAGAAAGCCAATCGCAAATCAGCTTCTGCCGACTTCTCTGGATTGCTTAGGGAGATGCGCTGGCGAACCTGTAAATCCCAAGAGTAAAATTCCCTAAAACTGCAGCTTCTTGTGAACCCCTTTTGAAAAGGCCATGAAATGGTGTTGCAGGTCTAGGGGACAGAAGACCTCAGTCTCTGGCAAAAGGGCCTTGAGGCATTAAGATGTTTCAGCTGCTTTTGCCTTTCCTTGGATGACGCTGTGAAATTGAACGAAATTTCACAACGAAATGAGATTGCACATGTTGGTTCCCGCTCGGGTACCTAGAGTTGTCAGGCTGATCTAGCTGGATGAAGTTAGACAGTGCACAAGTAACCAGGGACATGGACTAGAAGCGGCCAGGGTTCTGTTCCCCTCCAGACTCCCAGTTTCCACCCCACATGTCTCAGGGCTCTCCTCCTCCTGTGTTCACTGTAAATCACGAGTTTACTACTGAATGGGGTCTTGGTACCTTTCTCAGCAATCGTTTAAGGGAGGAGCTGGATGCTTCCCAAGTGTTCGTTAGCTGATAACTGGGCAATACTGAACAGAGGAATGATCTATGCCTCCTTTCCCAGTCCCCCACTTTCCCACTAAAGCCATCACCCAGACGACAGCTTTCTGCAGACCGGGTGATCTGAAAGAGTGCATTCAAAAGAAAGGTCATCACTGCAAGCCTCTACCATGAATGGAGAGTTGCCTTCTCCCCTCTGACTTCCCCGAGTCTTTAGATGCTATCTGCCTTGTCCTCTAAGGAACATGATTCCTGTTCGCCCTGGCAAACATCAGTCCTGATTGCTAACCCAAGGGCTCCCAGAACCAGCCCTGTTACTGTTTAGCCTGTTAGTTAAAGATCATTATCTGCTAGCCCATCTGTTACTTTCATTTAGGAGAGTATATGATTTCAGGGCCATAGATGTCCTTTAAATTCTCCCCTACATGTCGTGTAGGAGTTAGATGTAGTCCAAGCCTGCAGTCCTGTTGTGAACAACGGGAATCAGTGTCCCACTTTTGAAAGCATTAGCGGTAATGGCGCAATCTTGGATGGCCCGAGCAGGAGGGGGTAATCCCGGAAGAGTGGAAAATCAAGCCAGATGAGAGTCTGGTTCTTGCCATCCCGGATGGCCGTTGCTTTTAGAGGAATGGCTTGCTCCCTGATTTAGCTGTGCATAAGGATTTGTGGTGCTTTCTATTGGCCATCGTGTTGCTGCCCCAGTGGCCCCCTTACGGTTGCGGACTACTCATCAGGTAGGGCAATTTGGGGGCTCAACTCTTAGAAGGAATGGCCATGAAGAATATGAATTTCACTTCTTGTCATCAGTTAAGAAAATGATTGGTAGATTTCGCCTTTGTTAAGTGTCCTGTTATCTACCTGCTAAGTGAGAACGAACCTCCATGACTTCATTTCTCCCCAGTGGCAATTATATTGCTGAATTTCAGAGGATCAGGTCATCTCTGCAACCTTGAACAACTCTCCTTTGTCAAGAGAATGGTTGCTTTGAGCAGGTCTTTCATAAGCCTATGTCCTGGAAAAATCCGAGGTCCCATAATCCTCTGGTGCTAACAAGCGTTGGTGGTGGTGATGATGATGTCGGCATTTAGCAAATACTGACTGCCATCTTCCTCCAGGTATCATACTCAGTATTCTGTAAACACTTACGACATTAAATCTTCCTTACCTAACCTGTAATGCAGGTCATGTAGGCAGCCTCCTTCATGCATTTTAATTGATGAGGAAGAAAAAAGATCCAAGGATGCACCTGTCAACCAGCATCCTGTGTTCTTTTTGTTTGTTGTCGATGTTTCTTTCATTCAAGTGTCTAACAAAGGTCGTGGCTTGTCCAGGCTCCTCTCTATAGTACTTATTCCAGGGGCAGCATTTCTAGCAGAAAATAGGCAGCCTAGAATGGGTAGCAGCCTGGCCTGAGGTGTGAGAAGAAATTAGGACTTGTGCAGTGAGTTTTTGTACCTCTGTTGGAAATGGATTTCATTTTCCTCTGCTCTGCATTAACCTCTTTGTAAAGTGTGATTTCACCCCCACGTCATGCTTCTCTGTGCTTTACTTTTGCAGGGTTATGGAGATAATTAAACCTTGTTGGCTAAAAGCATTGAAATCCTGGGGAGAAAACAGCACATTAGTGAGCAAATGGGTCTTAGTTGTTTGTGTTGGGCCGGGTTCTCATTGGAAGCAAATAAGATAAACAGAAGACAGAATAGTTAATTCAAGTTACTGGAAGGTGGGGGGCATGAAAGGAGTTCAGGGTTTTTTTTTATAGTATAAAACATATATTTTAAGTAAAATTTACCATAACTTCTCCTATTGTGAAATTTTTATTAACATATGACAAATTGGGAGAAGCTGGTTTGTAGATGATCACTGACGACATGGTATAGGAAATAATGAGAAAATGAATAAAGAACCAATACATTTATAAATTTGCAAATGGCAGACATTGAGGATTTAATAATATTTTCTCTGTTTGTCGTTCCTAATCTAGCTCATGAGAACATTTTGAGCTAATTTGCCACTTTTATTACATCTTTGACTCAATGATGGTTTACTGAATATCTCTTAGGGCAGCACTTTCTAGACTGGTCCGTGAGTGAGTATAGACTTTGGAGATGGTTTCCAAAAAAAGAGAAAAATTAAATCCAGGTATAATATCCAACCACTTTAGGTGCAGAGAAATTTGAAACTAGACTAGATCTTGGATCATCTTATCCAACACCTTTCCGTTATGTATGCAGAAGCTGAAGCCAGTGTGGGGAAAGGATTTACACATCCCTAACTAGCTGCAGAAGTCAGATGAGAATTCTAGCCCCTGGCCTCCAAATTCAGGGTCTCTTATGTTTACTTTTTAGTTCCATATTTTTAAAATAATTTTTTCAATGGCAAAAAGTAATAAAGATATACCCCCCATGATCAGTTATACTGCTCTTTTGCCTTTTAAATATGTTAATATAAAGTATCTCAAATAGAGACACCTGGGTGGCTCAGTTGGTTAAGCGTCCGCCTTCTGCTCAGGTCATGATTCTGGCATCCTGGGATCCATCCCCACTTAGGGCTCCCTGCTCAGCGGGGACTTTGCTTCTCCCTCTCCCTCTGCCCCTCTCCTCAGAGGGAGAGGAAGCAGCAGAGTCCCCGCTGAGCAGGGGGTCCCACACAGGGCTCTGCCCTAGGACCCTGAGATCACGACCTGAGCTGAAGGCAGACACTTAACCAACTTAAGCCATCCAGGCACCCCCATGACTTTTTTTTTTTAATTCAACATTGTTTTGGAGATGTATGCATATTGATACGTAAGTGTCTAATCCATTTATTATAACTGCAGGATAATACCACATTGAATAAATAATCCAAGGTTGGTTTATCCAAAGGAAATTTGGGTTGACCTTGCAGTTTTGCTGTTATAGTACTGCAGTGATTCTTGTACATATCTTACATTTGTGCTAGAATTTCTTGAAGGGAGTTACCTTCAAAGGGAGTGGAATTGTTGAGTCGTTTGGGTGCACATCTGTACTAGGTATCACTGAATTGCCCCCCAGACGGGACTGGTTTGTTCAGCCATCAAACGTGTTGAGCAGTAGTTCTAAACTCTGGCTGACAAAGGAATCAGGGAGCTTTTTCAAATTACTAATGCCTAAGTCCCAGCCTAGACCAATTAAATCAGAAACTTTGGGGATGGGACCCAAGAATGCTATTTGTTTGAAAGTTCCCCGGATGAATTGTAATGCACAATAAGGGTTAAGAACCATTGATTTAGCATTTCTGTTTCCCTACATCTTTCCCAGTGGTTGGTATTATCAGACATTCTGTTTTACTCCTATCTTGGAAATAAGGAGTTCCTAATTATGGGTAAAGCTGAGTATACATATTCTGGACAGTAATTGGGAGGGGGGCTATATGATTTGCAAATATCTACCCCCAGGCAATAACTTACCTTTTCCGTTACCCATAGTATAATTTATTACATAGAAATTAAAAATTTTTAATATTAGTTAAATCTGTCAGTATTTTCCTGTATGATTTGTACATTGGAGGATCTTAATAAATCTTTTCTCACATGACTTAATAAAATGATTTTTTGGTTCTTTTCTTCAAAAAGCTTTACAATACTTTTTCCCTGTGAGATCATTAAACAACCTAAGATTTATATTTCTGTATGGTGTCATGTACTGATCAAATTTTTTTTGTATGAATAAGCAGTTATCCCAGTATAATTTATTGATTAGTCCATTTTTTCTCTGTCACATTTAATGCTATCCAGCCTCCATATGTCTGTTTTCCAAACTCTCCTTATACTAATACCACAGTTTTAATAGCCTTGTAATAAGTGAACCCTTTTTTACTATTTTTGTTCAAGTGTGTCTTGCCTATTCTTAGATATTTTACTATACCATATGAATCTAAGAATCACCATTTCAAGGTTTCATGAAAAACAGTGTTGGGATTTGGGTTATAATTCCATTGAATTTATAGATTATTGGGGGATGAAAAAAATAAAAATAAATAAATAAAAGCTAGATTATTTGGGGATGATTTCTATATCTAAGTATTAAGTCTCCCCATTCATGGAGATGATCTAGCTCTCCATTATTTAAAGCTTACTTTCAGGGTGCTTGGGTGGCTCAGTCAGTGAAACATCCAACTCTTGATTTCAGTTCAGGTCATGATCTCAGGATCTTGAGATCAAGCCCTGCATCAAACTCCACACTGGGCCTGGAGCCTGCTTAAGATTCTTTCTCCCTCTCCCACACTGTCCCTCTCTCTTTAAAAAAAAAAAAAAAAAAGCTTCCTTTCATGTCTTTAGTATACTTTATAATTTTCCCTACAAAACTTTCCCATATTTTTGTTTGATTTATTGCTAGGTACCTTATACATACTGCTGAAGTGTTTGTTTTTACTGTAAATTTTATTTTTTCTTAAATACTCTAATTATTGGCTGATAGTTTGTAGAAATAGAATAGATTCTTGTTTAACTCATTTCCAGTCATCATGAACTCCTTATTTAGTTTTAAGTTTGTAGATTATTTGGATCTTCTAAGTAAGCAGTCATTATATATGCAAATAATGATAATTATGTTCATTATTTTGTAATATTTATGCATTTAATTTTCTTTTGTATATATTGAATTTTATTTATATTTATGTATTTATTTCTTCCCCCCCACGGCTTGCTCTTATACTTAGCACCTCTTGTATGGTGTTAAATAGAAGCTGTGACAAGAAGCATCCTACCTTGTTTGAATTTTATATGAAATGCCTTTGACTTGCTGACCTCAAGTGTTGTATTTTCTTGGGTTTTCAGTGAATAGTATCTTTTATCAGGTTAAGGAAGTTTCTTTCTATTTCTGATATGCTCTTAAGTTTTACCAAGGACGTGTTTTGCATTTTATTAAATACTCCCTGCATCTCTGAGAGGTACTTAATGGATTTTCTCTTTTAATGTGTTAATTGATGAATTAATAAATTTTCTAAAATTAAATGATCCTTCTAATCTGGGAGAACCCCTACTTGATCACAATTTTAAATGTTCATTCGAAATTTTGTTTACTAACGTTATACTTAAATTTTTTATATTCATGAGTGAGATTGACCTGTAATTTTTCTTACTTATTTTTTATCAAGTTTATCTTACCTCATAAAATGAGTTTTAAGAAATATTATCAGTTTAGGCATGCCTGGGTGGCATAGTCACTTAAGCCTCCAACTCTCGGTTTCTGCTCAGGTCATGATTTCATGGGTCATGGAATCGAGCCCCACGTCAGACTCTGCACTCAGTGGGAAGTTGGCTTGAAGATTCCCTCCCTCTACCCTTCTTCCACTCTCTTTCGGTCACTCTGTCTCTCTAAAATAAATAAATCTTTATAAAAAAGGATTATCACTTTAGTCTCTTCTATGGAAAAGTTGATACCAGATTAGAACTACTTTTACTTTGGAAGTTGATAAAAACTTGTCTGAAAGAAACCTGTGTGTGTGTGTGTGTGTGAACAGACTTTTCGCTAGTGATGCAGTTTCACTCATGCCTTTGGTCAAGTCAGGTTTTCTGTTCCTTCCTGAGTAAATGTAAGTTGCATTTACAGTGAATTGACCATTTTGGCTAGATTTTCAAGAGCACTGACATAAAAAATGGTTCTTGATAATTCTCTGCTAAAAAAAATCTCTACCTGGCTGTAGTTATATCTCAGAAATTTTTCTTTGTACTAATATAGTCATTTCCCTTTCTCTCTTTGTAAATTAATCTTGCACAAATTTGTCTCTTTATTGGTTGGTTTTTTTCAAGAAACAATTTTTGGTTTTCTAGGATTTTGTAATTCTGTCAGTAATTGGCAAATATCCTTGACAGTCAATCAATAATTTAGGTGGGTATGTTATTCTAGATTGGCATTTATTTTCATTCATTCCTTTAAAAATAGTCCATTTATTTCTGTTACTTATCTTCACTTTTGAGAAGTCTACTGTTATCTAATTGTTATTCCTTGATAGATAATTTGTCTTTTCTCGCTGGTTGCTTTCATCACAATGTATCTCATCAGGGATTTGTCTTTTATTTATCTGGATTTTGTCTGAACCCATAGGAATCAGATATTTTAGCAGTTCTGGGACATATACAGCCATATATCTTTGGGAATTGATGCTTCCGTAATTCTGTTCACTGAAATTTATATTAGACAGATTGAGTTTTTTTATTACGTTACGTTGTCTCTTAACTTTATATTTATCCCTTTATCTCACAGTCCTCCATTCTGAGTTTCCTTGAAACTGTCTTTCAGATCATTGTTTATGTCTTAACCTGTGTCTAAACAGCTACTTCGCCTATGCATTGAGTTTTTTCATTCAGTTGCTATAGTTTTTGTTTCTAGATGATCTATGATTCTAATCATTTTGTTACTGTCTTTTCCTTTTCATACAGCTTGAGTTCCCTTTCATATTAGTAATTTAAAACAGTTTAGGGATGCCTGGCTGACTCAGTTGGTAGAACATGCAACTGTTGATCTCAGGGTTAGGGGTCAAACCCTACACTGGGTGTAGAGACTACTTAAAAATAAAATCATTTAAAAGTTTAAAAATCTGTTATTTTGTTCATTCATTCAAGTTTCTTGGGATTCAGAGTCTTCTATTTATTATGTCTATGATGGGAGTCCACTAATGGATGGTTTTTTCATGTGATTTGTAATTTAGGATCATCTGCAGGGAACACTATAAAAATATGTAACCAGAGTGGATATAGCTAACCCTTCAGAGGCATTTTGCATTTATGTTTGCTTAGTGTCCTACAGTGTGTCCTTAGGCTAATTTCTTGATTCAGGTTTTCCTGGACCATACACATAGCCCTCATTAGAATGCTGAATAGATGCTATCTTTTCCCTTCACTTGGCATCTTGATAGAGACAGACAGTCATCATTACTGTGTCCATTTGCTTCTACATAGGAAGTTAAACCTAAGCTTCTAGGTTACTAAGACTTGCAAGCCCCCTTAATGCAAATCAGAGTCTATCTGTGTCCTTACCACATTGCTTTCTAGATCTCTCTCTTTCTCTTTCACTGTTGCTTTCTCTCTCTCTCTTTTTCTCTCTCTCTCTCTTTTCTGCAAATTCAGTAATGCATTTGAAAGAATGATGTCTTTTTATCTGTTACTTCTAAGCATTTGTAGTGGCAAAATGATCAGACTTTCTTGAGAAAAGTTTTAGAACAAGAAGTCTTACTTTGGTCTTCTGACATTAAAAAAAAAAAGTCTGAGAGGGGCATTTGACTGGCATGGTCAGTGGGGTATGCAATTCTTGATCTTGGGGTCGTGGGTTCAAGCTCCACATTGAGTGTAGAGATTACTTCAAAATAAAATGTTTTTTAGGGGCGCTTGGATGGCTCAGTGGGTTAAGCCTCTGCCTTCAGCTCGGGTCATGATCTCGGGGTCCTGGGATCGAGTCCCACATCGGGCTCTCTGCTCAGCAGGGAGCCTGCTTCTCCTCATCTCTCTCTGTCTGTCTCTCTGCCTACTGTGATCTCTGTCTGTCAAATAAATAAATAAAAACTTAAAAAAAATAAAATAAAAAATAAAATCTTTTTTAAAAAGAGTAAGGATTTCACAACTGCTGTTCTTCATGCAAAGTGTTCTTGCTGGCTTCTGTAGGAATGCAGACAGACTGTCCAAATATCAGCTCAAAAATTATTAAAGTAATGTAACCCTGAACGTTTTATGACTACTGAGGAGTTGCATTCCTTTGAACTTCTACCATAAACTCAGCCACAGCTTGGTGTGTTGAGAACAACAGGCTGGTGGTGAGGAGGGCCTGTATCCTACTTTGAGAAGATTTTCAGGGGGTGTTCTATAGGGGGACAAATATTTTCTGAAGTAGTACGAATGTCTTTTGCTTTTCCTTATTGAGACACTGGAAGGTCATATTTTCTGAAAGGTTCTGATAAAAAGCCTGAAGTCCTTTCTAGCTCTAGAATTCTGTGATTTTCCTGCTACCTTGAGACATTTTCCCAACAAATCATGTAGCCCGTTTGCAGCTTTGTAACCAAATCTTAGGTATCAAAGGTGTGCGGTCTTCTCAAGACACTCTCTGGTTCTCCCTGCTACTCAGCACTGCACCATATGATGTGGATCATATTCAAAATTTTTTGTTGTTAATATTTCTTGATCTTATTTGTCCTCATATAATTTTTATGACATGTCAAAGACTACACTCCCAAGGAAATAATGAGTTGATTAAAGAGAATGTTGTTTATTGAATGTTATCTAAACGTGACATATTTTGAAATATACACTGTTGTAAGTTTTTATTACTTCCACTAGACATGCTATAATTTTGAGATATTTTGTCCCAAAATTCTCTTTGGAAGCAACAAGTTAGTAATAAGACACAGTTGGAATTAAAACAAAGGCTTCATTTAAAAAATACAGCAAATATTATTTCAATACTCGATACCCAGAGTTATTTCTGAAGCCTCACCATATTATTTTAGATTAAATATCTAAAACAGATTACTACAAAAATAAATCTATCTCTTTGCTGAATTTTATTCTGTGTTTGGATTGAGGTGGAGTCCATTGTTAGCTGCACGATCAGAGCACAGACGCTGAGTCTTTTTATTTTCTTAATTAAGAATTACCGTTCCAAACCCTTGTCAGTGGTTTACAATGGCAGTAATCCCTACCAAAATTGTTGTTATTCTAGATCCCAAGTGGTTGGCCAGAACATTAACCTCACCTTGACCCCTCATAGTCACAGGAGAGAGAAACGAGGGCTAGTAATCATGTCTAGAAAACTATAGAGCTTGGGGTGCCTTCTAGATTATATAACTTTAAAAATAATTAGAATGTGTTTGTCATTTAAAATGACTGGAATCAGCAGGACTAATGAAAATGTTTAAAGCCTTATCAGTCGGAACATGAAGGGCTGGCTCCAGAAAGTGCTGACCTTGAAATTTTTGCATTGCTTTTGTTGATCCTGTCTGCTGATGCACGCGGTCTGCTGATGTGTGGTTTGGCCAGCCATAGAGACTTACTCATCCATGATATATGTGGAAGGGGCTTCCGGGCCTCTACATGTGCTGTGCCACATTCCTCCTGTTCTCCGACAAAGCTTTTGATTGGCGGCTGTGACTAATGAGCATGAAGTCCCAGGAGAAACGGAGCCCCGTCTTCCACTACCCATTAAGATGAGCTCAAGCCCCGGGCTTATCAAACTTGAACCAGGAGAAGTTAGGGCCAAAGGCTTGAGATAAAACAGTCACTGAGAGTTTCATAAACGGCATTAATAATCCCTGGCCAAATTAAACTGCGCATTTAGTGTTACTACCCAAGCTATGGGAGCCAAGGTCCTTCCTGGCCCTGGTCATTAAAGGCAACGTCGCTCTTTTCAGGAGAATCCGGATTAACCCCGCTTTACCTAAGGTTTCTCTGAGGCTGTTTCTCCAAGTAATCTCCTGTCTTTGTGCAGAGAAGCAATCTCATTCTTCCCGAGATCATGTGGGATGAAGTCAGTGCTGGAGGTGGGCCATAGTGAGTGAGCTGGTGAGAAATGTACAGAAAATCTTGATGCAGATGGTTCTGCCTTAGGATTTCTGTGTTTTTTTTTTTTTAATTTGAAATTTCAATTATGTACCTTGCCTGCAGTGTAATGGAGGAATAAGCAGATTAGAGGAGAGGCAGGACAAAGAACTCATAACCGTTACCTATTATTTCCTCTATTTGGCTGGGAATGTCAAATAAATTAGGTCATTAAAAATCAGTAAGTTGCTGGGACCAGGGAGGGGCTTGTGCTCCTTTCCTAAGACCTTAGCCCTGATGTTTGAAAGGACACTTGAAGGTCTCATTTGGCCTTTGGTATATTATAGACTTCATACTTCTAAATGGCCTAAGTGACTCTGAAGACATATTCAATAAAGACACTTTAAAGTCCTTGAAATATACAAAAATTCTTAATTTTAAAACTGTTATATTCTTGCCACTTTTATTGTTGATTTTTATTTTAAACAGCTGTCTCTCTACCATATGACTCTACTATTTCTTGTGTATATATATATCTGTATTCTATCATTTCTACATATCCATCTCATTTACTTTATAACTCTGTTTACACATTCCTGGAAAATTGGCTTGAATGCCCTTTCATCCTGTCCACATTGGCCATTCAGTCCTTAGTTTTTCATGGAGCTCTTCTTTCTTTCCCCTTTTGTGGCATTCAGTTGGCTCACCATTGCTGTTAATCAGGTCCAGATTCATGATCACAGACCTCATGAGTCTGCCCATATACCCCGTCTCACATTACGTTGACTCCCCGGCCGCCTCCTCTCACACGAAAAATGAGTCTCCTCACATTGCTTCCACTTTCGGTATGTAAGTTACAACCTAGCCTTACAATGAAAACTTCCTTAATTGAAACTGTTGGTTATTTGAAGTGTTACTGGCTTCAAAGACATGATATAACTTGAGCAGTTATTTCCTGCATAAAAACATGGGTAATTGGAAAGCAGTTGGAAGGCTATGTTTCTTTATCTTACTGGATACCAGATTATAGGCTCTTTTAAGTCAATTACCAGGTTTCAGGTCCCGTAGCATCATGTGGGAATCCATGAACCCTTAATTTACACAATCAGTACCACAGCAATTAATGATGATGGTGTTCTCCAACTCTCTCTGTAAAAATGAACTTCTAGCAAATAGATACCGAGAACATAGAGTTGGCAGAATACCAGGGAGTCCCTGCATTACACTTAAAAAAATAAAAAATTATACATAATTAGGTATCCAAGAACCACCCAAAGCAGATAAATCACCCAGCTGCTCATATAATTCAGAACAATATCTGTTGAAAGTGCTTTTTATGCACCTAGTGACTGGCATATAGTAGGTTCTCAATAAATATTAGATGTACTGTCATTGGAGTGTATTTTCAACATCATGTGATTAATCACCTTCATTAACTTCTCCAGCCATTTTTCTATAAAATCTCTAGCTATTTCAAGGTTACTTTAAAGAATCCTAAAGGCTATTATGAATTCAGTGCTGCAACTGGCGGTCACGAACTTTAACAAAAGTTGAAGTTTTCAACACTGATAAGATAGTGACAACAGTTCTTCCTCATAGAGAAGTGAGAAATGAGAGATTACTACATGAATGATTTAGTTAAAACATAAAGAATTATTACACTTCAATGTTACTGAATATTGAAACAGATAATAGTGGAAGATATACCTTTCTTATATTTTATTAAAAATAGGAGTACAAGCTGTGGTCCAAGGTGAGTTTGGAGACTGATTTAAGCTCTATAGACTTAAGATTTTACACTTATCAATAATAGTTACCTTGTTCTTCGATTACACGGTGTTTCTTTTGAGTTATTTTTAATTTTAGAACATTGAGGCAAAGATGTTCAAATTCAACCTTGGAGCTTAATACATCCTATTTCTGCCAGAGACATTTTACTGATCCTGTGTTATTTAAAGGCCAAGTAGAACTGTTATGGTGAAAATCTGAAAAGAATGTCAGAACTAACGCAGTATGGAGATCACATTTTCACAGAAATAATGATTCCAAGTCTTGTAATTTAATTTTCATGGTTGAATGAACTTGTCTTTCTCCTACTCCAGAAATACAGCCTACCACATCCTGAACTGCAGCCCCCCAGAAAGGAGACCAAGTCCCTAGGTTGGACTTCCATAATTATGCCCACTCCACACCTTCATACCCAGTAACAATTTTTTTAATTAAAAATGAATTCTAAGCCTATAAGCCCATCCCATGAGAAAATCATGGGAGAGAGAAAGATGTGCTCTATATTTCTCTTAAGTAAAAATAAAGTCACTTAACCTAGAAAGCAGTGAGACTTCTATGTCAGGTGAACTGTCGCAGAGAGGAAGAGACTGTGTTACCTGGAACCGAGAGAAAATACGTTTCTGGCACTTTCTCAGGGGAGTTGACAACATTCTTCCTAGGGGAATTTCCCTAGCTTGATTTTATGAGTAGATTATTAGAATCTAGCCCTCTGTGTTCATGGGCATAGTTCTGTGATAAACAGTTTCCCCATTTCAGTGCGGTGAGAAATGAGTGAGAAATGAGAGACGACTACATGAATGAGTTAGTTAAAACATAAAGAATTATTGCAGTTCGGTGTTACTGAATAGTGTGTGTATTACTCACACCATTATAGTGCCTTATCACTTTATTATGAAAGTGTGTATATTACTCACAACATAGTCCAGTGGTGTGATGATGAAGATGGTGTAAGGGCTCTGTTCTGGGCGGAGCCATCCCATCAGGAACCCAGTCTACTTATAGTGTGCAGGTTTGCTAGCTTCTAGAACCCTTCTAGAACCCTCTAGAACCTTCTAGAACCCTTCTAGAACCCTCTGCATCCAGCTGACCCGGTAGAGAAAAATCTCAAGGGACTTCCCAGAAGGTCTTCAGGAGCCAGATCTGAAAGTGGTGTACGTCACTACTGCCTCAGCCCATTGGCCGGCACTCAACCCTCTGCCCCTACTAACCTCAAGGGGGACCAAGAAATGAGGTGTGGGTGGATGCCAAGAGGAGGTAGAGTAGGATTTGAGGACCACAGAGCAGCCTCTATCGCATCTTCAGTAGTTGTGAACTGGGGTTAATTGACAGGGTATGTGAAAATAGCCCCAGGGTTGATCCTGGGTGCTAGCAGCTGTAGGAAGGTATAGGACCAGCATGTCCATTCCAGAAAGCTTAGAGCTTTATGCTGCCTATTAAAGACGGTGTTCAGTTTTAGCTGCTATGAGAGAAATAAGATGAGTAGGAGTTTGTCTCTGCCCTCAGGCTTATCCAGTCTCCTCAAGGAGTAGGCGATCTGTATGACTAGCTATGTTCTAGCTTGTATAAAAGGACATTAAACCAGAAGTTTCTACTGAGGACCCTATTTCTAATAGACAGGAAACTCGAAAATGGGGTAGCAGATCAAGGTGCGGGTTTTCAAAGGAAAAATCAAGAAAGGGTTCTATGATCTAAACTTTGACAGCTACAAAGAGGGGATAGGGAAGGTCCCCAAGAGTGAAAGTTGAAAGAAAATTTCATGAGGAGGATTTCTATTTAAAAAAATTAAATTTAAAAAAATGTTTTAATCGTGCTGTGTTTTCTACCTATATCCGTAAGGATGAGGGCTGTGGGACTATCTGCTGCCTCATCTAAATTTCAGTATGACTGACTTCAGCAAAACCATTTGGAGAACTTGACACTTATCGCCTGAGGTTGGGAGAGGGGATACAGTAGACTGATGTCTGTCTATAGTCCAAGAACCTTGGAGGAGGATGCTGCTTACCTATTCTGATGGCAGGAGCAAAGGAAAGTTGTTGTGCACTTGAAATCATCCTGCCTCTCGAGTTTGTTCAGCCAAAGGATGCACTGGGGACTTCTTAGATTCTGTCCAATATGGCCACTCAGATGGGCCCTCAGCAGAGAGAAGCTGGAAATGGACCACTAGATGCCCATGGGCTGGGGAGGATGTCACCAGCTGAGCTAGAGCCATCCTGCCCACGTCAGAAAGAAGAACAGAGTGGAGGACCTCGGAAGAGCCCATAAAAGTGGTCTTAGAAAGAGTTAGCTTTAAATAATAGCTTTAGGGGTGCCTGTGTGACTCAGTTAAGTGTCTGACTTCAGCTCAGGTCATGATCTTAGGGTCCTGAGGCTGTGCCGAGTTGGGCTCCCCACTCAGCAGAGAGTCTACTCGTTGCTCTCCCTCTGCCTTTCCCCCTGCTCATGCTCTCTAGCTCTCTCCCAAATTAATAAATAAAATCTTTTAAAAATATATTAGCTTTAAATATTAAATATTTAAATATAAGCTCCCTTCTGATTCTGTGAGTCAAAAAGATCTTTCCTGTTCCTCTGATCTCTCTTCCTTACTTCAACTATGAGGTTGGAGGTGGGTCCGGAAGAGCAGGAAGTGAGGGGAGAGGATGGGAATGAGAAAGATCGAGGACAGCGAGGACACCGAGGACACTGTTTCTGTTGAGGCCAGCGTGGGCTGGGAGGTGGCGAAGAAGGGTTTGCTTTGAGTGACAGTTCCAGCGCAGATGAATAGTGGGCTGGACATTCTCATTTCTGAGTTGAGACCAGGTTTTGGAATCTGAAGAGAACATAGAATGTTTTCTTAACTAGGATTGATCAAAAAAGTCATAGTTCTGCTGGAGTTTTCAGAGTTTTTGTCACAGGCAGGGGAAGAGCTAATCCTTTTGCTCAAGCTTAGAGAGACGTTGACAGGCAAAAAGAATGTTCTTTTATGACTATAGCTGACAGAACTGATGTGTTCAATGTGCCATTTATTTTTGAATTCTGGTGGAGTGCCCCAGGAGAAATACAAATAAAGTGCTCTGGGAGGTCAAATAAAAAGTCCTTGCTTCTAGCTGGAGTGGAAGTGGAGATTTGGGATGGGCTGGGGAGGATAGGTGGTTGATGGTGCTTTGTTAAAGGCATTTCTAGCAGAGCAAACGACATAAAAAAGCAAGGAATGAGTCAATATAGGTTCATCCTTGTTTAAAAAAAAAAAGATGTACCGTCTTGTTGAGTGACGTTGATAATGGGGGACACTGTGTGTGTATGTGTTGGAGAGTATGGGAAATCTCTGTACCTTTCTCAATTGTGTTGTAAACCTAAAACTGCTCTTTATAAAGGTATTAAAAAAATCATGGAGACAGAAAAAAACATAGCAGATGCATATAAAATAGCAATTCGTTCAGTTTGGCTGAAGCCAAGCATGGGGCAATCATGGAAAATAAGGTAGAAAGTGTTGGCTTCTAGATTGAGTGAAAGACGTAAGACATGCTCGAACCCTCTGCAGGGAGTCTGCAGAAGAGACAAGGCATTAAGCGGGAGGCAGGTGACCAAGGCAGAAAGCAAATCCTCGTAGTTAGGCCGACCTTCATGGGAAATAGCCAAATGTCTACATTACAGTGTCCAGTGAGGTATGGGGCGTTAATTTTTACCTAGATGGACAAGGCTGATATCCAAGGAGGGTACTGATGTGATCAATAGGGTGTGAAAACAAGGAATTGTAGGCAGTGGGGATGGTAAATTCAGGAAGTTGTAGTTGAGGGTAAACAGTAGAGATTGAGAGTAGGTTTGGGTATATAGATAGGAAAAGCTTCTTTTCAGATAGGGAGCTCCAATACACCAGTTCTGTGACCTGTGACAAGTAATTTGTCTTCCCTAAGCCCTGGTTTCCCCACATAACAATATATAATAATACAACCCACACAGATTGCTCAGTAGGGTGCCTGGCACATTTATAGGGACCGAGAAAAGCTAACACCTTTCCCTTTCCTTTAAGGGGAAAGGATGGAGATTCTTGATAAGCAGAATGCAACTCAGGTGATGGCCCTGCCTCCGTGAACTAGAGAAAAAAAATCCAGAAGTCACAGGGAATGCTTCTTCATGGACCAAGCCATCAGTGTCAGTAGGGGGAGGCTGTAGGTCGAGGGATCTTTAGATCCCCTCAGTGTTGAGCTTAGGGCAAGAAACATCCGCCCTATGGCAATTCTGAGTCTGCTGGCCTTGGGTGGGATTGGTTAGGGGACTGAGTGGGACTGAGTTTACAGATCCCAGATCCTTAGTGTCTAGGAGGTGGTCTGGGAGACAGAGATGAAGTGGAGAGAGGGGAGATGTGCAAGCGAAGGAACTGGAACATGTTTCTGAGCCACTCTCTGGCCTTTAAGGAGGGTGAAGCCGGGAGATGGGAGAGACCGAGATGTTGTATGCCAACTGTGCAGAGGCCAGAGTCAGCAAGTGCACCAGCCCTGGGAGTGAAAGCAGCGTGGTACAGGCCCTGAAGGCAGGAATGGTATGAGTCAGGATGCAGAAGCCCTAGGCACGACCCTGCTGCGAGGCTCTCTGGGCCTTGGTTTCTCCGTCCATCAAATGGACTCAGGGTGACACTACTTACCCATAGTCTGTGATCTGAAACGTGGTCCACCAAAATTCAGCCGAAACAGAAGAGTAAATAAGAATGGTCCTTAGGCAGTCAGTGTCAAGGTTATTATAGGCTTCATGCTGAAAACATGGAACGGTTTGAGTACCCCCACGGCAGCCTATGCATCAGGATGACATACTTACATGGACATGGTTTTAATACATCTGACACTGTAGTGACTCTTTCCAGAGAACTCAAGATGCACATCAAGGAGGGCTTAGAGGATGAGCTGTTCACAGGAACAGAAAGGTGGAGAGCCCACTATAAGGAGATTTTTTTTTTTAATTTAAAAAAGATTTTTTTTTTTTTTTAAAGAGCAATGTGAATCCAGTTAGTATAGGGGCAAAGAATGTATACATCTCCACATGTTCTGGGGCCTGCCGCTGTTGTGCTACAGTTTCTGGAATCTGCAGACATAATGGGTAATTGTTGACTGCAAAGATAATTCTGAGTCTTCAGTAACTGATTATGTCCAAAAATCCTCTGTTAAAGAGGTAGGGAGGGGACTGGAGTAGATTTTTAAACTTCTATTCAAAATTAAAGAATTTTAAAAATTTGAATCTTCATTCTATGAAGGCAAGTCTTCTTTCTGGAACATTCATTTATCCAATATTTGTCTTTTGTAGGTCACTGTACTCTTACACAAGCCCACTGTAACTATAAAATACGAAGCCTGCTTTAAAAAAGAAAGGAAACAGATCAGAACATAGTCAAATGAATAGTCAGTCACCTTGGAGGGCTGTAAACTCATACTTTACTAAACTGCTATTGCTAAAAATATTTTTGTGATTTGTATGTATTTTCTGTATAGCCTCTTTCATGAGTTTATGATGATACAAAGGCCACACCCTCCTTGATTTAGATATTGAGTTATTATTTACAAAGAAAACCACCACCCCCAGTGGCAACATAGGTTGTGCCTGGTTCTTTTAGCAACATTGGCTGAGCACTTCACTTTATAAGACCATAAGGAGGAGGCACTGGGTGGCTCTTGAAATTAGCCCAGAAGTGAAACTGAATTATCCATATTACTCACTTTTCAATGGCTTGTGAAAACATCAGACCTGCCCTTACAGGTCAAATCGTTGGCCACCATTGAGAAGACGTTTTTTCAATGTGCCATCAACTCTGGTGTCAGGGTCCCAAAGTAGAGTATATCAGCGGAGGCTTGAGTGGTGACAGCACCATTAAAAAAGGTCAGTCCTTTGAAGGGGATAGCACTCATTGAATATGTAAATTCTACCATATTCATTGTTAAAATGCATGGCATAGAATCACATTTGAGAGAGCATTGACATTAATCCCTCT